CACAGTTTCTTGAATCAGTTTTGCTAAATTAATGCATGACTAAATAATGATGTTTTTGCCTACCATTGTTTAGCATTCATAAAAGGCACAATTTCTTTTTTATTTCCTCCTCAAATCTTACACTGTTAAATTTTGTATTGAGAGATAATAAAAATGTGGTGTAGTCTAGTCTAAAGCTATCATATTCAAATGTCAGGGAACATAGCATAGCTGGACATATGACATATTCTCTTTCCTGCCTTCCTGCCTTCCCGCCTTCCCGCCTTCCTGCCTTCCCGCCTTCCCACCCCTTCCTTTCTTGAGACAGGGTCTCCCTGTAGCCCAAGCTAGCCTGGAACTCACTCTGTAGACCAAGCTAGACACTATCTCACAGACATCTGCCTGCCTCTTTCTCCTGAGTACTGTGATTAAAGGCATGCACCACCATGCTCAGCTCAAACATATGGTATCTATAAGATAGCATAGAGAATTAGTATTTTAACTTCTTATTTCTTTAGGTATAAAATTAATCAAATTAAATATTGCCATATATAAAATATTAATGTAATAGAATATACTAAAGTATTTGAATTAATATTAACATAATTATATATTAGCTGGTTAGAACACATCTACTAAACATTTCTATTTATTCTTTTGGTTGATAGTATTTATACATATTGTGGGATATTTTGATTTTTTTGTCATTTTCTTTTAAATTTTTCTTATACTTTTATTAATTTATTTTGTGTGTTGCATGAGGAGTTTTTGCATGCTGCAGTTTGTATGTGGAAATTAGAATCAGTTCTTTCCTTCTAGCATGTGGAACCTAGGCTTTGAGCTCAAATCATCAGGCTTGGTGGCAAGCCCAATTACCTATGGACACATCTCTTGCCACAGCGTGTGTGTGAAGATCAGAATCAGTTCTCTCCCTCCACCATGTCAATCCTAGAGTTTGAACTGAGCTTACCAGTCTTGATGGCAAGACCCTTTACTTACAGATAGGTCTCACTGGCCCTTTTATAATCCTTTGATTCTAGCATATGTAGGGTAATGAGCTGTGAAGGGCATTTAGCATATTCATCACTTGAAAACTTTATTATTTATTCATGTTGGGCATACTCAACATCCACTCTTCTAAATATTTTTAGACAAATTTTACATTACTGTCCATTATGTTTACCCAGTTTTTCAATTGAACACAGAACTTATTCTTGTCTAACTTTGGACTAACTCTCCTCTTCCTCCCCCTCTGTAGCTCCTCTTTGATAAATCACAATTCTAGTCTCTACTTCTGTAAAATAATTACTTTACATTAAACATGTGAGATCATGTAGTACTTTTCTTTCTGTGCATGATTTAATTTTTTTTTAACTCCATATTATTACAAACAGGACTGTATTCTTTTTGTAGCTCAGTAGTATGTGGGTGCACATCACATTTTCTTTATTCATTCGTTATTTGATTAACTGATGTTACTACTAACTGGCTATTGTCATAATATATGTGGGGATGCAAATATGTCTAGCATACTTATTTCATTTTCTTTGGATATGTATTCAGGTGTGTGTTCAGGATTACTGGATGACATAATTCTCCCGTTTTCATTGTTGTGGGAGCACTGTACTATTTTTCATAATGGGTCACACTAATTTTTACACTCCCACCAAAAATGTCCAAGGTCTCTCTTCTCCACAGCCTTTCCAGTACTTTTAGTCACTAGTCTTTTTGATAACCATTCTTCCAGATGCACAGGTGTTATCTTTTTGTGGGTACTTCTCTGATGATTGGGGACACTGGGAATTTTTTCTTCATAGATCTGGCCATTAGTATGCCTTCTTTTTTGAAAGATCTGTGTTTAGGACTATTATTCATTTTCAATTAAATTGTTTGGTTGTGGCATTGATTTTGGAGTTCCTTATATATTTGGGGAATAAATTATTTGTCAGATGTATTATTTTCAGATATTCTCCTTCATTCAGTGAGTTATATCTACATGTGTTATCTGTTTTCTTGGCTATATAGTAGCTTTTACATTTGATTTAACTCCATTTGCCAGTTTTAACTTTTGCTATCTTTTCTTTTGGGGAAATAGCCAAAAAGACTTTCCCCAGCCCAGTGTTCCTAGTGTTTATTCTGAATTTAAGTGATTATTTTTAAATAACTGCTAGTTCATTAATAATAATTTAAAAGATTTATTTTGAATAAATATAAGTCAAATATGAACATAATTTACTTTAATAAATTTTTATTTTTATAGATGAAACATGGGATTATTTTCTATATGTTAAAATCATTTTAATAGTTCCTCTGGAAATCTTTAAAAATATTTTATGTTTTATTCCTACTTAACAA